AAAATAATGGGTTTGGCTTCAAATAAACGACAGGACAACAGTGACACTGAAATCCTCCAGAGCAGAGAGTAGCCAGGACCAATTCTAAGTACTGGGAATTCAACAGGTTTTGATATTTGATGATTTCTTATCCTAACAGAAAGCATTTTCTTTTGTGTCCCCTTTATTTTCCTAGAAGTAGACTTTGCTCTCAGAGAAAAGAGGTCGTAGGATCAAAAGATCTAGAAAATCAGCCTTGTTGTTCTGTGTCTGCATTTTTTCCATCTTCAGGCTCTAACTCAGCCCTGCTGTTTATGTAAAAGTGCAAATTCAGAAGGAATAGTTCAAAGTTTGACTTTTGGCTTTCAGAGGCTGCAGAATTCTGTTCTCTTTATATCCAGTGTGTTCATTTAAATATCTGTCTGCAGCCTCACCTGCACTGTGTTCAAGTACTCCCTCCTGCTTCTCCCATTGTCCGTGATATCCTTGATCAATCCATGAGGGAAACAGCACTGTTGTGTTATGTGCAGCTCAAACTGGAGTACAGCTTCAGTCCAGAAAACAAACCCAGAGATTGTCCCTTCCTTGCCTTTGGCCCCTCAGATCTCCTGTGGGTACGATACCACACACATTCTATGACTTACCAGAAGAGGAAGTATTGGGAAATTTTGTTTCCTAGAAGAGATAATAGAAGTGGCAATAAAACCCAAACCAACAGAGAAAGAAAAGCCTGTTTTGAAATCTTGACACTCTGTTATGCTGCTCTTACTCGTTAATATTTGGTTCATGGCCAGCACTGCCATGAGGGTTGGGTGAAGTGTCACCGAGACTGGTGGATGCAACCTCTGTCCTTCATTCTCAGCAGCAAAACCACTTGAGCTTCTTTACAAAACAGAAGTTGTTTTAACACAAAACACAGGCATGAGATCCCAGCAGAGCAGAGCCACGAGCAGAGCTACAAGATTGGATCAGTATGAGAGAAAGGGGTTTCCTTGGTGGTTTCTGTGCTCTGTGACAGAGGTCAGGAGTCACTGCCACCACATTTAAGCACTGTGCTCTGGAGTGTGGCAGAGCCTGCTCTGCCCATGCCAAGAGGAATGCCAGCAGCAGTGCCTTGATCCAGGAGCTGAGCTGGACCTCCCAGCAGGTGCCTCCAGGTGAAAATCTCCTTTGGGCTGTGCTGTGGTGGTCAGTCACTGGGGTGATTTACTGACACCAGTGTGAGCTGCTCTGCAACCAGCAAAAACATGAGCACGTCAGAAATTCCCGTTTCCACCACAGAGAAAGCTGATTTGCTACTGTAGCTCAGTGAAAATCAGGCACATTATGACTTCTCTTCTAAGTCCAGGGGCGTCTCACTGACTCCTCTGCCATGGTGGGAGATGGAACCTTTCCTGAGCATTTAGCAGCCAGTAGAGCCTCTGGGAGGCCGAGCAATGGATTATGGGCACCCTCTGGCAGGCACCAGGCAGCTGAGACCTGCCTGCCTCCAGCTAGCACTGACTGCTCCTTGATCTAACCACACCTGCGGGAGCGAAGGAGGGAGTCCAGCCAGTTGTTAGGATGCTTATGGAATCCCACAGGACATTTCCACAAAATTGACAACTGTACTAGCAAGTACTTTTTTGTGTCTGCTCGAGGGACTGGGATGTTTAAGTTATTATCTGCAACAAGGACTTCAGGCTTAATATGCTCAGAGTGCTTGTGGAGGCCATATAATCAATGGGAAGGGTCACATAGTGTCAGCCAGCAAGATTTGTTGTGAACAGGATTGCAGAATAATCATATTTGGAATGCCTCCACGGATTTTAAAGATGGTGAGCCCTTTCCTTTAACTGCATGGGCTATTCAAATTCCTGGCTCCACTGGCTTCTGTAACTTCATTGACTATGCAACTGGTCTATAGCATTTGCTTAGGGGATTCATAAATTTTATTAAAAGCATCATTTTTTTCTGATAGGTGAAAATACAAGCACCTGTATAATTTCACAAAATGTGATTTTATTGTCAGAAAAGTGCCATTGATGCATATGGTAATCAAAGTGCAAGCAGTGGCAGGAGTATCACTGCAGAGCCACTAAATTAAGGCATTAAAATAACAGATGAGGGAAAGTTCAGCCATGACCTTGTAAGTGAATGCTTCTCATCATGGGCAAGGCTGCTCAAGAGCCTGGGGGATGGAGTTGCCTCTCACCACCTTCCCACTTCCCAGAAGGGGATGAATGGTGCTCCATCTCAGCTGGAAGGAGCTGTGACAGGAGTGGCAATATGTGCTGTTCCACCAGGACAGGCTCAGAAGAGTTCAGAGGAGCAGAACAGCAGCTCTAGTGCTGTCTCCTCTCTGGCCTGGTTTTCTTCTTCACCATGGCCATGGGCTGCTCCTACAACCTCCAGACCCTTTTATAGTCTGTTGTTTCCAGCTAAGCCATTCCTTGCCACTAAGGGCATTTTTCTACAGGCTCTGGAGAGAAATGGAGCCCTTTGCCTGCCAACTTTTGATGACCATATCGCTTTCCTGTTTCCCATGTTTTAGCAAAGCCTTGAGGAGTTTCCTAAACAGCTTCCCCTCTTCTCTACCCCTTCGCCTCTCACTTCCCTCCTCACTCTGGGCAGCAGTTAACACCCAGCTGCTGGATGGTTTGGCTGCGTGAATTGACAGCCCTGCTGGATGATAAATTAACAAGCCCTTATTCATTATTCGGCTTTGCGACAGTTTTTATAAAATACTCCTCAGTTTTATACCCCAGAGCCTTTTCCCATTTGTGCTTTACCTTGGAGACTCTTTCCCATTCTGAACATGGAGTACAAGAAACCTCCATCACTCCAGGGGTGGTCTCAGGTGCCCAAGACCAGATGAGCTGTTTCTGCACTGCCCTGCATTTCACATCCAGCAGGGCTGTACATGGTCAGCCTTCAGAATGGAACCTGCTGAAGTCCAGTTAGGAAATGGCATCATATGTGCACTGCTACAGCCTGAATGTTCATTGGAGGGCACGACCCTGCCCATGAACCAAAGGTATCCTGCTTTTTGAGGAAGGCCAAGGCAAGCCCAGGAAGTGACACACCGCTGGAGTTCACCAGACTAACACCTCCCACTGTTGTGCAGCTGGAGTGGCACAGCTGCCACTGTGCAAAGCAACAAGAGGGTTCTCCTGACCTTAGTATGTTGGGGACAGGCCAGAGTAATTTATGTACCTAAAAATCCCATTCTATATCCCCTGGGAAGGTGGTTGAGCATTTTTGTTTGGGATTTTTTTGGTTTGGGGTTTTTTTTGGTTCTGCTAATGCTGTTTACAGCAAGTTGTGGGTCTGTGGGACTAATCCTACCTGTGCCTTGTGAACTATGGTGTGCCATGTGGCGTCTTGTTTACTTACTCCTAAAGTTGATCAGAAAAACACCCTGGTAATGTTTTGCAAGAGTTGATAAAACTGCCTAAGATTTTACTGGGAGCCCATGGAGAAGTCGGGATGGAGACAGAACGGTCACTGATGGAGTTTGGGCAGAGGCTTTGAGATGCACTTCAGAGACAGCACTGCCACTGTAGCATTGTCTTCTGTCTGAGCAGTATGAGACTGTGCAGATAATTTCAGTCAAAAACCCTATTTACCCCTTCAAGGGAGATGGAGTCTGTTCCTTGACCTTTGCCAAGCCACCTTCAAGACCTTGACATCTCTCTGCCACTGCAGGAACCTCATGGCCTTGCCGGGCCTCTTTTTGTAGGAATGACCTAAAATCTTGTCCTTCCTATACTCAAACCCCAAGATTTCTCCTCTTTCCTATCTCCCCCCCCAGGGCTAGGAGGTCTTTAGCACAGGCCCAGTGAGATGTATGAGAAAGAAGCCTGGCAAATGGTTTAAATTAACAGCTATAGTGGTTGTGCCAACTCCTGCAGCAGGAGAGTGCCAAGATCCAGAATGTGGCTGCTCACCAGCATTTGGCAAGGCAGTGACATCTTGTCACTGCTATCCCTGAGCACTGAGGCCCACACAGGTACACCGACCAGTTGGCTGGGGCAGGATGCAAGGCAGGGTGGGAAAGCAGAGGGAAGACTGCCAAACTTCTCCCAGGGAAAGTCACAGCCATGATTCTTCAAAATCATCTGCTCCAATGTGACATTACTCCTGACTGCAAACAGAATTGAGTCTCCAAAGCTGTTTACCAGTTACACTGATGTGGGTTCAGTCCTCCTTATCTGGGTAGCCAAGTCTGCACTGGTAAATAAAGAGTGAGTACATAAACTCTTAGCAAAGGAGAAAACCATCCACTTTCAGTAAAGCTTGATCCTGCCACAGAAGGCTGTGAGAGAGCTTTGGACCTAAGTGCTGACTGTTGGGAAGGTGCCTAGAGCTAGAGAGAAAAAAATCCCCAACATATAAAAAGGAAGTCTGTTTTTACATTTAATTCCTCCTGGGTCCAGAGAAGCAGGGGTTTATATTTTCATTATAAATAAGCTAGAAAGCATCTACATAGTGGAATCCATATTCCCAGTTGAGAAGAACCTGCAGGTCAAGTATGGTCAACTTTCCCTTTGAAAGCACTACCATTACAAGTTAGCAAACAGTTCACGAGTCCTTTTGTTGTAGCCACGTTATTCACAGCCCAGTGCCACTCTGCTGCCTTCTTTCACCCACAGGGATGCCCAGACCTTTGATTTCAGAGACTGCTGCAGGGCATCAGAGTTCTCCATCCAGAAGATCATGAAGATACTTGGTACTGATGCTCCTTTCCCTGTCTGGAAATTTTTTCCACTGCCAAAGTCTTCCAAGCCCTTCGAATGTTTCCCCTTTTCTAGGAAACATACAAGTCCTGTGCTACCCTGTAGTTGCTGGAAACATCACAACCGTCTGCAGCTTTTACACAGGTGAGAATTCACTGCAATTTCCTACACGAGTTGAAGTTTGGTGCCGTGGCACAGCTTTCTCCTGAGGTGGATGTTAAGTTTGGCAAAAGGCTGGCTGATTGCAAAGCGATGTTGCCCATTGACCCAGTATGGTAACTGCATATCAAAAATACATTTGAATAAAGAGGTTCAAGAGACATTTTATTAGAGCAGCCACAGAAAAGTTAAAAGTCATGTTCCTCTGCAGGACACAGTCCAAGCCTTCTATACAGCAGCCATCAAAGTGGTATTTTTTCTGCCTTTGCCCATAACTCTCCAGCAAAAATAAAACTGCAGGTATGTTTTCACAGGAGAACCTTTATCTTCTGCCATTTCCAAACTAAGTGGCTGGAATCAGTTATGTAAGAAAAAGGAAATTTGAATTTTATTTTGCAAGTACAAACTTAAACCAAGCAAACTGTTATTTGTATTTTATTTGCTCTATAAAAGCCTAGGCGTACAAAGAACTTTTTACTGGATATAAAACCCCATATTTTCTTTTCAGGTGTCCATAGAAACACTAGTTTAGCTGAAAATAAATATAAAACCTGCAAAATACCTTAATTTAGTTTTGCTAAGAATTATAAGAAGGAGGGGGGTGAAGGGTGGACTAGTTCCTCTTCATTTCAAGCTTGTTGCTTTAATTCCATGTTGCATATGAAGCAACAAACAAAAACTCTATGGAATGTAAAAAGTTCCTATGCCTACAAAAGCCTTAACAATACCACACTGAGCTGAAGAACAACGGCACTGACATGAAAGGATTTTCATTTCTAAGAAATACCTGGCTACACTGGAGTTTAGGAATACATGCATTCCATCCTCTTCTGCAGGGCTGATTTCCAGCAGCACAGACCTACTAACCCAAAATGAGCTTCCTCCCTGGGAGTCTGAGCTGCAGCAGCACAGGGCACTCCAGGTGAGACAGTGGGATGGAGACGGGGTGGTAACTTGGGTCTGGGTGAAAGAGGAGAATCTGCATTTAATAGCACAGGCTAAGTATTACGCTACGTTTAAAATACCGTTCCCAGCTCACAGTGACAAACTGCACTCTCCGCTAACCACAATTTTTGTACAAAATTTTGAGAAAATTCTCCATTTAGAAAATGGTAAACTCCCTTTTTCATACTCGCAGTGCATTAAGGTACAAACAAAATTGCTGCCTCCCAGGTTCTTTATCACTGCATCTTTCTTAGACTTGTATCCTAAAGGTTCATTTTTCCAAATGGCATAATTTTGGCAGAGGTTGAGGTCAGCGCACTCCCAGATTGCATACTGCCTATCCCTCCTGCAGTATTACAGGGATATGTAGATGTTCAGCACCTTGAAATCCAGGCTTGCTATTCAGCTAAAACAAATGTGCAGAGCATGAACATTACAATTATCAGAAAATTAAAAAAATCTGTCTGCATTCAAAGCAAAAGTAAAACTGGGAAATTTCGAAATTTCCTGAGGTGCTCTTTTTGATCAACTGGAACTTTGGCTTCCATTCAATTTAGGCATTTCTTCCGTAGTACAATGCAAAATACAAACTACATTGTGAATAATATAAAAGCATTTTTTCCAGATGGGAATGCCGGAACATATCTATTGGGTTTTTTTCTCAAGCATATTTTTTAGCAAGTATGATTTTCTGAAGCAGTTAATAATCAGTGGAGCTGTATTCTCCAATAGAAAGAGGGCTGCTTTTTTCCTAGTAGAAATTACATATTCCTATAATTTTCATATTTTAGAGTTCTGTAGTTCTACTTGAACCTTCCTGTTCTTTTTTAGAAAAAATTCAAGAAAGCCCTTTACAATAATTCCTCGTGGAAGTGCCTACTCATGGTAAACCATCTAACTCAGGTCCAGTCTAGGCTAAATTGTTGCTGTATATTTTTTCATGTATTTGTGTACTTATGCAAGTCTGAATTAAAATACATGTTTTGATGGAAGAGAAAGCACACATGAAACCACAATCTAAAAACTCATCAGCTCTGTGGAGATGTTGAAAAGGCAAAGTTCACTCATGTCACAGTAAAGGAACAGACGGTGTGAAGAAGTGATCAGATGGAAAGTTTGAAATGAAGGGGGGGAAAAAGGAAGTTTTCCTACAGAAAGAATAACTAAACTGAACTCATTGTGAACAGACACAGTGGAACCCAAGAGGGTAAATGAACTATACACAGCTGGGAATCCAGACATACATTCAGCTTGAAAAAGCTGCCTCAGAAGTCAGGAAATTCAAAGGTAGGTATCTCACAACAGAGTTTTTTAGGCACCTTCCCCAAAAAGATGGATACTCAAAAGAGCTAGATACTTCTTAATATGCATTTTTGTTAATAATCTGCTCAATCTAAACTATAAAACGTGCTGTGCAACATGACTGAACGAATATCGCTGTGAGAAATATTTCCCCCATGTTTGAGTAATTTGAATTTGTAAGCTAATGTAAGTTTTTGTATTAAATAATGTTCTGTGTGCAATTTTCTTTCTTGTAAAGCACTTTGAAGCTTTCAAAGGGCACTCTAGGTTCATAAATAATATGGTATTCTTTGCCAGAACTGTAGGGCATTTTCCATAAATTCCAAATCTTCTTTGCCAGAATTGCAACATGTTGCATGCCAAATCCTGCACACAAATGTTCTACATGTGGCAAATACATATTGGTAAAGACCAGAGGCATGGCATTCCTGGATTTCTTAGAGAGAGTGGGGGCAGGGAAAGAAGTGGGAAGGAATAACAAGGGAGGGAAGAGAGAAAAAAATGTCTGTACATCATTTACAAAACAAAACAAAAAAACCAACAAAAAAACCACACCCCCACCCCAAACAACCCATAACCAGCACTTAATTATTTTCAAAAGCTAAACTATTTGCTGCATGTTGCACAAACTCACAGGTACCCAGAGCTGGGTCTTTAGTTTACCTTCAGTTATGGAAATCAGGCCTCTTTTTCTGAGATGGGTGTAGATTTTTCAAAGCCAGATGTTTGTAAAGGTCAGAACACCTGCAATCCCTGCTCCTCCCAGAACATGCCAATGGAAACAGAGCGGCTGCGAACCTGGAGCAGCAGAGTCAGGACTGCCACCACTTCACAGGCTGTGACCATGAATCCCCTTCTTCAGGCAAAGAGGTGAATACATTTCTTATGCCCAGGGCTACAGGGAATAAACCAAGGCCAATGTTTATAAAGTGAACTCTTGCCTCTCTGCAGCCTCCCCCATGGACCAAACCACGCTCCCACTGCTGGAGCTTGGAAGAGAAGGGGTGTAAAGCAGCAAGACCCAGAAATTCAATCAGTGCATTTGGCCACATATCACACAGGTTAGATTACTGAAGGGTACTTGGAGTTTAATGTGTCTTTGGTTAAGCATGAATAAAAATGTTACTAAACTTTAAGAAAATGGTGACAAAAATTCTTAATCACTTAGCAACAACCAGCTAGTTTTCAAGGTACCAGAAACTACTTAGACCTAATCAGGCGTTAAGCACCAAGAGTCGCTAAAGGTTTACAAAGCAAACTGAATTTAAAACCGAACTCCACATTCTGCAACACTAAATGAACGTTTTACTACCTGGTTTCTTTTGAGGTGGCAAGAAATGACTGTAAAACCATTGCTGTTGCCAGAACTACATTGCTTAGAGAAAAATATCCTGTGGGTTACCATTTGTTGCCATGATTTACAAAGATACGGTCTATAGTCTGTATCAGTTTCATGTGGAAGTTTTAAAGGGAAAAAGCCTTCTGCAGAGTTTGCAGATTTCTGCATAAGTGTCTGTGTTGTTGCAAAGAGGACCAAGTGGTGCTGTCTCACAAGCTTTTCAAGAAAGCTGGCACATTTCTTCAGATTCATCTCCTGCAAGGTAAGACTCTCCCCTCCGTTGCTTCTGTCTATCCAATAAAAAGCTGATATACTGTCTAAAAGCAGAACACAGAGCGAGGGGTGAGCACAAAACAGGTTTTCTAAAGAGTAGAGAGTGAGCAGTAACTGAGTGCTGCTATTGCAGTTCACAAGGAAAAGCCTTCCCAGGCACTGCTTTATCATTTCCTCCGTCCTTTGTGCCAGCCTGTTCTCCAGAATGGTAACCAGGCGGAGCATGTCGAAGTGGTAGTCTGTGTCAATGAACATGACTTCCACTTCCAGCCCTCCTCCCGACTTTGGAACGATGCAGCGGGCTATGAGGTGATAGAGCATTTCCGTTTTTCCTGTTCCTTCTGCACCGTGGAATTCAATGATGTCTCCTGTTCAAAAACAAGGCAGTACGTTGTCAGGTAAGAGCACTTATAGCCCAGGGTCACTTTCCAGTGTTTACTGAACCAATACTCACTATTCCACAAATTGGAACATGCATTTTGGAAAGCTTGATATGCATTAAAAATGTTTAAATCCTGGTTAGCATCTACAAAGAGACATTTCAATTTTCAAGAAAGGCCTCTAAAGTCAAAAAAATCAACTGGGAACAAAGGTTGAAAACCTCTGCCAATAGCACCTAGGACACCAGTATCAGTGAAAGGTTGGCAACTGGATTTCATTGGTATCATCACAGGTCGATGAAAGCAGAGGAGGAAGATGTTATACAGAAGTGGCTAAGAAACCATCTACATTATGCACACACAATCAAGGAATAAATTAAAAAGGACAAGCAAAACATAACAAAATTGATATATCAGAGGTCCAAATTACGTTGGCACATCTATTTTTACAGCACAGCCTGTCCTTCAGCATTTCATGTCTTCTATAAGCTTCTTCAGTACCTGCACATGTCACAAGATACCTACAGGAATCTGTGACTGGTGAAGAGAACACCAGTAGGTTTATTTAGCACTTATATTCTTCTGTGCTGATCATAATATGAAACTGCTTTTTTTGACAAAGGGGACTCAGATTCCTTCAACTCCAGGCAACACCTCTGTCTGAAGCAAAGGATCTCCGTTCATAAAAGGATTCAGCCCAATTGCCTCATCCATGTGGGTCAGTAAAATACATATCACATAAATTTAAAATGTTAATTAAAAGCAGCATTCCACTTCATTAGGAAACCAGTTCTTTTGTTGGATGTGAATGCAAGCTATTTTTAAATCTTATCCAAAGTCTCCTGATGTCTTGAGCCGGAATCTAAAAAACGTTAATTTATTAGTCGCGTTTTATAAATTCTTAATTTTGGGAACTGGATTATTTATTTATGACATTTTGGATTTTAGGCAGAAGGGTAAATACGTGCAGTAAGGAGAATCACACAACTGTAATTACAGGAAGGTGAGAGATTTCCATGGCCTTGGCAAGTGCAAATGGCATAACAGCTTTTCATAGGGAGATGTGAGAGTAGAGAATTAATTGCAACTTTCCTTAAACGTGTTTGTGCCTGCCCGAGTTAACAGGGTTTTTCAAGTCACTGCTCAACTTCCAGAGGATGTCCTTGTTCACAAGTGTGTATAATGTCAAGACGCAGCTCAGGGTGAGGGGCAGAGGGTGGTGGGGAAGAAACCAAGCTCTTACTTCACCCTTTGCAAGCATTAAAAGCAATTTACACCTGACGTGACAAGTCTGCCCATTTCCGTGGCACTCACACTGCCCGCCTCTCCATAATGGGATTCCTGCTGCTCCACGACTGCAATTCCATTTCTATGAATTTCTGACACTTCAAAATTTATTAAAAAGCTTGACTGCCTCCCAAACCTTTACTTAGCTGTTTCAAATGGCTCACCCACTTTTGAGATGAAAGACCACTACACTTGCTGGGACACAAATCTTCATTTTCTCTTCCTGTCCAGGGGTCAAATGTCCAGCTCTGGCACTTGCAGCCAGTGGCTGCTCTGCTGTCACACAGCCTGTGCCAGTGACCTAACCACGCCCTGGTAGGGTGAGACAGCAGCTTGGAAGAACTCTTCCTAAACGTCCTGGTAGGTCATTCCCTCATATTTCATCTATTGGAATATTTTAGAGCAATTGCGCAAGGCACCTCTTGTTAAGGTACAAAGCATATCTTCTGTCTGCCACTGGCTTTGTGCCACCCTGACTGGCATTTCTGAATCCACACCAGTAAGTGAATGGGGCCAACATGCCATACAGGTGCCTCACCTGCCTTTACAGCAAAATATGACCTATTTGATTCAAAAAGCTATTCTGGGAAATAAATGCTCCACTTTTTCCATTTGAAGATGCTCTAACAGGATGTCTGTGTGCTGCAGAATAACACTGGATGAGATTTTGTTATTGGCAGAACTACTAAACTTACTTAAGTAAAAACTCTAAAAATTGAATGATAAAAATCAGTCTCAGAAGTTTTTGTGGTGGTGGTTTATAAATGTTGACAGCAAGACAGCCAAGCACCCCTCAAAGTTTGTTCAACATTGCTGAAAAAGATACACAGCTGCACTGTAGTTTGACCAAGACACTGGAGTTACTTTGAAAAGAGTAATAGCTTGGACTGCAAGAAAACCTCAAGAGGGCTGGGGATTTCTGTGCCTTCCTGATTATCCCAGAGGTTGCCCACAAGAAGAATGGGTGCAAAACAGAAGCCATTTATAGCAACATCTATAAATGTAGGGTTTCATTGAATTAGCAACCAGGCTGTTAGAGTAAGATAAGAGGGGAAATTCATTCCTCTGGATCAGAGAGGACAAACCATGACACAGCAGAGGAGGAAGTGAGGCCAGCAATGTTTTCAAGAAGCCTTTGACACCCTCACAATAGGTCACAGAAGAAACTGGGTGATCAATGCTAGCATGAGCCATTAACGTCAAAATAACTTTGAAAGGAGGATTAGTAAAAAGACACTGTCACAGGATGAGAACAGGCTGAGAGGGAGAGTAGGAACAGACACTTTAAACATGGAAGAAGGTTAATGGGAATTTTTTCTATTAGAACAGGTGTTGGCAGACGTTAAACATATCAGTAGATGAACGTTCCATTAGCTTGGCAAAACATGTAGAAGACAAACTAATTGGGTTAATAAAGACTTAAGTTTGTGAAGACTTAACAGATGGAGCTGGATAAGCAGAGCGATTTCATATGATATTCAGCAGTGATGAATTCAAGAAGTAGATTTTAAGGAGTCACCCAACACATTGCTTGGCTCATGGTAGCTTGAACTGGCCCACGATGGGCAGACTAAAGAGAACAATAGTCCACTGCTATGAACCAGCGTGCAGGATAAGCTAAATGATGCTGCATAAATGTAAATATTTACACAACACTAATATATTTTTAACTGAAACTTTGCGCTCAGTCCTGGTCATCAATTCGGTGTTATCTTTTGAACGAGAGGAGCCTTGTTTCTGTCTGTAATCATTCCACTAGCAAATGCTGGCTAAACTATTTTCTGACACCGCAGTTCCAAGCAGGCTGTTGGAATACTCAGCAATAACTCTGTGGAGTTCACATCATCCGATACCTTGAAGTTACTGGGCTGGTGATTTACACCAGTGTGCAGAAGCTGTCGCTAATATTTATACCATTTATAAGTGAAGTAGAAGGGCCCAATATTTATTCCAAGTTAATGCTGGGTGTCATGCTATTGCTGAACATCAGAGCTTTACACTGACACCCACACCTTCATGCCACAGGCACAGGGGAAATATGACTGGCAATAGGGGAAGATTATTTAAAGCTTGTGTCACTTTTGCTCCATTCCAGAAGAGCTTAAATGGTATGTAATTAATGTGCTTATGTGTTCTTAAATATGCAAGTCCATCATAATTAGAAGCAGTAGCTATATTACCTGTCCCTATTTTATAGTACTCTGACGTGCATGTAAGGAACACTTAACTACAACGTAACATTTGGTAGTTTATTGAAATTTCATGTATGTGTTTGTTTTAAATAGCATCAAGAAAAATAAAATTTAGGTCCTTGCATTACTTTAATCACAGCATTTTAGATTAAGAGCTGTTCAGTACAGACTTTGTGGGCAATCCATCACAGCATTCCACAGTGACCCACTAAAAGTCAACTTCATGACAAATGGAGAGGAAGGTCTTCAGCAGGGATTTAGGACTGAATAATGAGAACACACATCAAAACAACACATGGGCTCAAATGAATACCGTGGTATTAAAAGACAAAGCAAAAACGTAATAGAAGGTGAAGTCAATTTATGTACATACAGCTAAAGATCTGTGCTAATATGTTAGGCAGCATCATTGATGTCAGCCAAAAAGCAAGGCAAATTATGGGTAATAATTGATGCCATTTGTTCAATGCAGAAGAAAAATACAAGTGCTTCAGAAGCTCAATAACTCCGTTGGCACAGAGAAACCAGTGATGAATTTTGTAAGGTTTCCAGCCATCTTAGAACTGAGGTTCTGGAACAGTCTTTGGACAGACATGAACAACCTACTTAACTTTAAGAGCAAAGCAAATAATTTGACATGAAATTATGTAATGCTGTGGACTTTGGGCAATCACTAACCCTCAAGAAGGCTTCTTAAAGTCTGTTCAACCAGAACATGGCCAGTTCAGTCTCAAACATCTGTTTCTCGTGTGTAAAGTTAACTAGAAAAAATCCCAGACTAAAATATCAGCATTTTCTATTAGTGCATTTTTTTAAAACATAAAGATCTCGTCTTTTAAAATAATTAAGAATTTGAGAGCCTTGTGAAACATATACCAATTTCCTTACTGGTTCTTAATTCTTCCTGTGGATAACAAAGAGCTTCAGAATTGAGAGTATTTAAATATTCTTCTGTGCTCCACTTGCACTGGCTTACCAGTATTTCTCTGCCCTTTATCCTTGTTATGTCACATTTGAAACTTCTGGGGCAGGAATCATATACTGCTAAACCCCACAGGTATTCTCAAGTGCTGCAAAACAATACAGGAATAGTCTCACAGTGACTGTGTTTGTAGACTATGCATCAGCTCTCCTCCAAATATACTGATTCTTTTAATTGCTTTTTCTGCTATTTCTTCTGAACCTTCTACATTTGCAGGAATTCAAACTGCAGACAAGTGTGCTGATAACCACTGCAGCCACACACCTGCCACATGAAATCCACTCACTCATACATTCATTCCACAACAGTAGTACCTCACCCACAAGATCCTTGCATTTTGCCATTCATGTGCCTTTTTTCCTACGTATTTCTAATTTTGTGTAATCGGAGTTGTCTCTTCCATTATGAAATTCAAGAAATTTCACACAATCTGGAAAACCAATCTGACTTCCTGAATAGTGTGTTAATTTCTATTTAGCTCATAAAAACATCCAATTTTGACCTTAAAACTTCTTCCTAGAAGAATCTCCCTTAAACTTGTAGTACTGGTGTCTTCGGGAGGTTGTTTGATTTCTCCAGTTTGAAATTCTCCATGAGCCATGTTGATCCAAACATTGCCCGTGAACTCATTCAGCTGATTAGTGCCTATGTCCACAATGGAATTGTTTCAAAAGTTCCATCTAAGTATAATTAGGATTTTTCAGGCCACAACTGAATGGCTTGATGACTTGGCTTTATTGAAAAGTACTGTTTGCTCATGCCCCTTATCCTAAATTTTCCAGACCACTCTATATCACTGAACTCTTTGCTATTTACTGAACCTCATGTTCTTTGCAAATTTCTGCAGTTATGACTTTGTGGTGGTTGTTTAGACCACTGACTAAAAAAAACTAAGAGGTTTAATGACAGACTCTACAACAAAATGGTGTAAAACTACTAAAAACTGACCAATGTGCTTGGTACTTACTCACCTACACCTGTGTTTTGACATGCATGAAGCAGATTTTCAAGTCCACTTAATAATGTTTGGAATGGTGACTTTGCATCATTCCATTTTATCTAGTTTGCATAGAAATACATCAACAATTAAAATTCTGATCCAGGGCAAAATCATCTACTTGTAAGATTATGTCTGTCACATTGCTCTGAGAACACTTTTACATGGACATTTTTCCATAAATGGGATAAAGACACATTTTTACCATGAACAGGAGATCCTTCCTCAGCAAACAGATAAGGTTCCAGATTCTTCAGAGAGCTTCTGCCCTCGAGTCGCGCCAGCAGCTTTTAAAGACAAGACAGAGAGACACGCTGTTAACTCAAAATAATGGACCTAAGGAATAAACCCTAAATCTGACAGTTTTCCATGACAGCCCTATATCAAAAGATTAGCCTGATTTTAAAAATGTTTTCAAAAATACACGTGGAAACATACAGTCTGGACTACAGGCGGTTCCATCCTCACAAACAATGAGCACACGGATTCAATGGCAATGAGGAGTGGATATATTAGGGGAAATAAAAGCTTAAAAAGAAAAGCTGCACAGGTAGATTAGCAAGAGGGACTGCCTCTGGTACACAGCAGTGCTGCCACTGGGAAGAACAAAGGGAAAGAAGATCATTTGTAACAACCACCACCTTCACAAAAAACTACTGGTTGAGAGGTGAAACCTTACCCATCATCAATCTCCTGAGTCAGTGCCTTTGAGTATTTTTAAGTAAAACCATGTGCATTTCACCTGAAAAGTTACACAGGACTCCTCTGGGCTACAATCCTATTATATCATAGTTACTTGTTCAAACAGAGTATGGATTAAGAATGATCAAAAGTAATTAGTCACCAGTGGCCCTGCAAGAACCTTTCTAAAGCAAGCTTGAATTTGTTAAGCATGTTCTCCAAAGCCCCTTGTAAACCAAGACCATTGTAAAACAAATTAGTTCAAAGTTCATGGACAGTTTCTTAAATTGAGAGGTATTTGCATAGCAAGTAGACAGGTATTCACATAACCTGTGTTATTAGTAATTCTGGCACACTGCATAACCAAGAACTAACATTTCCCCCAGTACCAGAGCTGTTATTCCCTACATGTATTCCCTACACATGAGAAAGGACATTATTGGGATACTCAGTGTCACCAGAGCACGTACCCTGGTGCCAAATACTTCATTCTCCAACACACCCAGCTGTCATTTAACGATCTGAACAAAACAAATCCTGTTCAGCTTTATCCCATCCTCCTCAAGACCAAACCAGCAGCAAGCACACACCTTTAAACACCTGCTGCCTTCTCTTGCTTTCCTCTATGCCACATCCACAAGCAACACTTGCTCTGAATTGTCTTAACAGTTTTTTAAAGAGTCGTGTTTGCCTTTCACAGTAGAATAAAACTCCATTAAATGGCCCTGAATTTACTTCAAGTGGTCATGGTGGGAATGTGTGACGTTTTCATTGACATTTTAACAGTCCCTTCCATTAACAAAATGTCAGTGTGTTTGCCTTGGCCCACTCACACCTATCCAGGAGAGTTTTCTGACTCGTCCACTGAAGGGCCAGAAAAACACTTGAATTGACCTTGCTGTGGATCTGTGGATCCTCCCATTACATTTCACATATTTGTGCAGCACAGAAAACACTCACATGGTGAGCTCTGGAGTATTTTGGGAACCAGTAGGGTTCTGTGACCCAGACAAAGGAAAAATCCAAATGGACATATGTACACAAGAATACAGGAATGCATCTTGGGACACATAAACCAGATCTCAACCACCAAGAAAGACCCTACATGTGCAGCTCTTCTGTGCAAGCAGCTGCCAGTGCCTGGCCCTGGCCCCTGGCTAGAAGGGCTGGGAATTCACCCCCTCATCCAGCAGTGGGAGTTGAGAGAAAGAGGAAAACCACCACAGGCTGCTGCTTGCTGATGCTCTTCGCTTCTTAGCAGAGGAAGCACCTCTCCAGCACTCTGGGATAACAAGGGGCTGGATCACTGGCACTGCTCAGTCCAGGAGTCACAACCATGGCTGGGCTAAACACGTTTCTGCAGCCTCCTCCTCCTCAATTTATTTCTACGTTAACAAATACATCCTCTGCAGTTTATTTCTTCTGAAACAATGAGCCCATGTCTCCTCTTAGACTGTCACCTCTTTAAGCTTACTGCCAGAGCTTTGGAAACACATGGTAGATTGATGGGCATCATTTAAATATGAATCTGCAGTTATTAAAATGACAAGTTTATATATTAATTTTAAATAACTACAGGTGCTTACTCTGAGCACTGCTCATGTAGGTAATTTATGGTAATTTGCTGATGATAGTGCACCTGTGTTTTTATCAAACTTGTATTTACTTCCGAGATCTGAAGCAGAATCTCCAAAGGCACTTGCCTCATTAATGTCGTGCTGGGAGCAACGGGGTTCCTGGCAGAAAGAGGAACAATTTTCCTTCAACTCTCACAAAGGTTTGTCCACACCAGAGCAGAAGTGACGGAGGCGAAGCTGAGATGAGGTACCAGACAGGCAATCCCCTCACCTTTGCCCGCATTCCAGGCAGGGACAGCACGGGGCTTTCCAAATCGGCAAAAGCCACCCTGGCTCTGTTCCAGGGCAGCATTTCCACTTTGCCTCCCCACATATTCACGTGTAAAATGAGGAGGAGGAGAAATCTACAGGATTTAAAGGTTAATCTGGAGGGTGAACATCAGGTGTCCCAGGCTTTGCCACAGACACTGTACAGCACACAGCACTGCAGAAGAGAGTTTTGAGTTGGAAGAGCTTGGGAAAAAAACCCCAAGACAACATCAATCATGTATTAGAGATTTCAGATCCCATACTCTAACTGCAGATGCTCATTTATTCTTTCATAAGCCTCTTTTCATCTTCTTTTACACAAAACACCACCCTTTAGCAACCTGCTAGTGGTAGGTCTTCACTCTTAGGTGTTCTTCAAATGTAATTATGCCAGCAAGAAACTGCACATCTGTGCAGTCACGTGTAGAAAACAAGTTATACAGAAGAGTCAGACAGCAGGTAGGTTAAATTTCATTAATGACAAGGCTGATGGGACTCAAATATTTCAACTATGCCTTTTATAATTTATCAAATTTTTAATAAACGAATACGCATTTGGACAGCCCCACTGACTAATACATGATGTGCTTATACTTTATTGGTTTCAACAGAGCTATGCATAAATGGAAGAACACATGTAGGTCTTGTCAGGAATGAGAGATTACTTCATTAAAATGTTAAAGAAATTCAAATCAAATACTCCAGCTCTGTTAGAGGCTGTGAGCTAACCTACAGGCTGTTTACACATACAAACCTATCTTGAGTACGAGACAAAACTTAATTTTCAACCACTATAACAGCTCTGACTGAGCTTTTGTAAACTTTGGGTATGAAGACATATGCAAGCAATTTATCATTAATTTTACTGTGATACACCAAAGGTGTTTTGTAAGAAGTTCTAATTTGTCGTATTAATTATATTGAATAATAAGAGTACAAGACTGTTGTTCCAGGATAACCTGATCTTATATGCAGGAGGCTATTTGAGGAAGTATTGTTTTAAATTAAGTGTTTTCTGTTTCAAGGGCTTTTACCATTTTTTTCTGGACTGTGTATTCATACATTAACCATTCTTAACCCATCGGTTATCAATTCCTCCCTTGGTCCAGGCTGGCTATCCATCCATCGCAGCCAGTTGATGCCATGTGCATTCCCTGCTGGCACCACTCCATGGACAAATAAATGCATTTACCCCCTTGGACACAGCACAACTCATGTCCTTTATTCATGTCCATTTGCTGATAGTGGGCATCTGGTACTATTTTTTTTTTAAGTGTCAAAAGGGCTTAAGAGCCACTGAAAAAACACGGAGATTTATCAAGAAATAAATATTACCACATATTTCTACGTTTCTATATGAACCATTCGATGTATTCTGATAGTTACACACAAATCTCCAAGCAATTAAGTTGATGATGGCAAGTGGAAGTTTCTAACAAATATGCCATCCAGCAGGGAAAAAAAACCCAAACCAAACCAAAACCAAACGCAACAAACCCCCAAACTCAAACCCTTTTTCTCATAAGAGCAGGAAAACAATTCCACCTTCTGTATTCTTTACATAGAATCATAGCTAAAATCATAGTTAAAGCTAGAAGAGACCTTCAAGATCACCAAGTCCAAACGTTTAAACCAAACCTTCCTCAAAGCCCTTCTTCCTTAGGCACCCACTCTTGGGATGGGAGAGCGAAGGGAACATTTACAAAGAATTCCCGAGACACCCGACCCGCCTGCCCCGGCGCAAGCAGCGCCCATGGAGAGCCCCCCACCCGCATCCCCACACACAGGCAGGGCAGGGACGCCCGGGACCCTGATCCCGCCTGGAGCCGCTGCCACCCACGGAAACCCTCTAGGGAGCCCTCCAGGCGGCTGAACCCTCCCCCTGCTCCTTCCCGCACACCCCGGCCCTTCGGGAGGCTCCGCGGGCGCTCCCCCAAGGGCGCTCTGGGGAGCGCCCGGCGCTTCCCCCTCCCCCGGCTGCGGCCTCGCCCGGCCCTCCCCGCCCGGGCCCCGCGGCTGAGGGGGGCCGGGGCGGGGGCGAGGGCAGCGCCTCACCTGCGTGCCCGACTCCGCCCTGCGGGGCGCGTCACCCATGGCGGGCTCAGGGGCTGCCGATCCCGATCCCGATCCCGGTCCCGATCCCGCCGCCCCGCAGCGCCCCCGCCCGGCCGCCCCGTCTGCGCCTGCGCGACTCGGCCCCCCGGGAGCGCGGGGTGGAGCCCCCGGTCTGAGGAGTCACTGGTTCGAGTCCCGCCCCGGGCTCAACTGGCGGCCACCCGCCCGCCCATCCTACGTGGCTTGGGATTCCTTGGCTACTGCAGGGAGAATCACAGAATCAATGTGTGAATAGACCTCTGATACCATCGAGGCCAACGTATGACTGAACAACACCATGTCAACTAGACCATGTGGCACTCAGTGCCACGTCCAGTCTGTCCTTAAACACCTCCAGGGATGGTGACCCCACCACCTCCCTGGGTAGCCCCTTCCTATGTCTAATCACCCTTCTGTGAAGAAATTCCTCCTAATGTCCAACCTAAACCTCCCCTGGTGCAACTTAAGACCATGTCCTCTCGTCCTGTCACTGGCTGCCTGAGAGAAGAGGCTGACCTGCACATCAATGTGGCTGTTTATTTATTTTAAGGATCCATCTTTTTATAGCTTTTTGTGGGATTTTTTTTCCTGCTCCTGATGAAATGGGGCAGGTGGCTGGGTTGGTGTGACTCAGAGGATGCTCCCCTGTGACACTGGGATAGCCGTGACTCAAGGGAAGCTCATTCGCGTGGCCGCAATTAAACTCTTGACGCCTTGGAATCTTTGCCAAAGCCAGCTATCAATTATGGCTTAAATTAAAAGGGATGTTTTAAATATGTCCCTGTAATGAACTGGGCTTGTGTGGTGTGTGACACCCTGGGGCAGGAGCCGATGTCCAGCTAGTCCCTCATGTCAGCTCTGTGCTCGTGGCTGGCAGCAGGACCTGCTCCCCCTGAGGACTCCGACCTGTCTGCTGATGTTGTGCCACCTGGAGAGGCAAGAGGGATGGGCACAGGGAAAGCATGGGAGAACCAGTTTGTGTTTTCCATAGGCTAAGTGCAAAACCAGCAGGATAAGAATAGCAGCTCCCAGTATCTGCATATCAAAGAGCTGTGAAGATATGATCTCTTTGGGTCTACAGAGGTTATCGGTGATACTGCACGTCCTTACAGTTACAAGGAGAAACTGGTGGTGGAGTTCTCTGTTCCTTCAAAGAAATCACGATTGCCTATATGAAAGAGTTTCTATTGGCTTGGTCTCGAATGCACCACAATCAGAAAATCTAACCTCAGATGCAAGGTGTCATCTTTGTTTACTCTTTCAACCCTTTTTAAGCCCAAAATACACAGCTCCAATTGAGAACACCCTTTTGTTGCCATCTGACTAACTCAGGTTTCAGATGAATGCTTCCAGCCAGATTTAACCCAAGTCAAAGCCCTACTTTAGAAGCCCAGTCCTAATTCTGCTCATTACAGTACAGAAGGGAGATGGTCTCTCTGCACAGCTGTAGTAACCTTTCTTCTTTTCTGTGTATGGACACACATGCAAAATTATCAAGAGCATGGAAGGTGGTTCTCTAGTGATATAGACTTGGATGGCTGCGTGGAGGGGACACATGGCACAAAAATGGAACTGCAATACTTTAGGTTTAATTGTACTGAAGGAAGTTTCTTTTCTGCCAGCATAAAGGACAGACAACTTTAAGAGCTGCACGTCTGACTATTCTTACAGCACCTCAGTGGTTTGGGCCACTGGAAGAGTTCAAAAGACTTGTCAATTAGTAGTGATTGCCCTTGAAGCTGACTGATGAGTGACCTAGCCCAAGGACAGAGTGGACTCGCTGTGACTTATGACAAAGGCACTACTCACTGCATCAACTACATTTGGTTTTTGGTTTTGTTTTTTTTTTTTGATAATTATAGGTTCTTGGTTGCTCTTCTCTAATTAAAGACATTGCACTAATTTTTTAAAAGTGATTGCCACTTGAATTTAGGGCTGTAAAATATACAGCACAGATAAATGCCAGTTGACTGAAGCCCACTCCTACCTCATTACTTACTACTGTGAGTATCCCAGTAGGGTTCTATGGAAGCTCTTCTACTGCATGGGTGAACACAGTTTTGGTATTACAGTTTAATGCAAGATGAAGTGTCACAGTTCAATGGAGATCAACCAACATTCAACAGAGAGAGGGTAAAAGCATTGAATTCACCTGAGCAGTAAAAAAAAAAAAAGTATATTTAATTGCTTGAAATAGTTAGTAATGTGTTAATCAAATATACTGGTCACCTTGATAGGCAGATTGCACATCAGCAGTCAGCACTGCTGGCATCTTACCACACTTTGTAATATTTTATCAAAGCTGTCTATGTATTTCTCATTTTTCACCTTTGTTGCTGTTGTTTATTTTCCTCGCTGCACAGTAAACCTCTGCATTGATCTTGCTCCTTTGGAGGAAAACAGTAACATAGGTAAGGAGGAAAACCCTTTACTATTGGTTTCAGCAGAGCCGGGATTTTAATTGTAACCCTCTATTTTTGTGGGTTTGTGGTGGGCTTATCTGTCTATCTATCATCTAATTATTTAATTCTGATTAATTCTTTCATATTTTTCTGTAGCATTTCTCATCCAGGAGTACAGCATCCCACCTACTCCTTACTCTTCCTTCTTAAATAGCAAAAGCCTCCTTAAGTAGCTCATAGTACCCAGGGTCTCTATGCCCCAGCACACCTGTTTCTACAGGCAGAAAATTAGTCTTCCTTTGTTTGGCATGTGGGGAGCCTGAGGGTGCCCCTTGAGCCACAGGCACTGCTCATGTAGCAATTCAGCAGCAAGAGCAAGGACTTTTCTAACAGCAGAAAGATCAGACTCTAGGGGTGAGCATTTCTGTCTTTATGAAATGTGTATTCTGTAGAAAATTCCTCTTTCCTGACCTTGATTTTGAACATTTCCCACACTGTATTTTCCACTGCATGTGTTTAAGACCTTCATCATAGGGAGAGAAAGTGACAGTGCAAGAGAAGAAGGTATTTAAAGTGGAATTGCAGCCCTGGGCAAAATTATTTTTGATTTTTTTTTCATTATTATTATTTGCTCATTCATACATTCACTATTGCTGATTTCAGCCAACAGAAGGAAACTGGGCTGGGTTCTGGGGAAGGAAGGACTAGCCCAGGTGCCCCAGGGCTGCAGAGAGCCGAGTCTACTGTTTATATAAACACTTAATTTCTCTTTAAGATGCAAAGTCCTAAATTTAAGTTGCCAGTTGGTCTACAATAGTCTAAAGCATTACACTATTAGACTTTAGACTGCCAGTCTAAAGAACTAACCCCCTGTCTTGGAACTGAGGCCTGAGGTAAGACCTTAAACAAAAGGGAAAAAGCATGAAAAAACCCAATGTAGTGACAAGAAAGATTGTGTGA